GACATGACTATTCTGTTAGAAGAGCTGGCTCGTGATCCTCCACCACCTCGTCAGTGGATAGGAAGTGAGGCCTGGGCAACTGACCCCCTCTTGATGAGCTTCAGTTTCTGTGCAGGAGCCATCGGAGTAGCTATTCAGCGATCTGTCATCCCAGGTCTGAGAGACTTCCTGCTGGATCTTTCTCCCACTGAAGCAGCCGCCTCCTCGGTGCTTACTGAGTTCTGGGAAGATGCTTTCAACTGTTCACTGACAAAAAGTGAGACAGCAGTTATAACAGGCTGTTGCTTTATATTTTATTAGTGTTTTTTTAATAAAAACAAAAAGTGTAGCCATTTGACATAATATAAAAAAAGAGATAAGTGCATGAATAATAATTTGAACATAATGCAATGGAGACATGTACCTTTTAGCATGGAAGAATGTTTACTTCTGTAAGTGCAAAAACTCATAAAATCACTTTACTCTTTTCCAGATGAGATTCATAAAATATTAATACAAAACAAGCATTTCTAACAGAAATAAGGTGAAAACCAGTATAGGTCGTCCATTTTTATTTGCTAGGAAAATATTTCATTTTTCATCACTTTTTACAGATTTTGAGACTTTAATTAGACACGTTTTCCAATGTAATCCTATGAGCATACATTTGCAAAAAGAGAAGAATACTGAGGAGATGCAGTTTTTAAAAGATTTATCTTTTTTCTCCCTTTTTTAGCTGCAGATTCAAAAAAGAGAGTTTGTACTGGAAGTGAAGACATCAAGACCCTCAAAAGCCCGTACACAGAAACATCTCAGTTAAGAATTACCAACATGATGTACAAGGCTGTTTATGCAATAGCTCATGCCTTTCACAATGCTGTGTGTCAGGAAACTAATTTCACCATTCAGTGTGACAAACACTACAGACTGGACTCCAAACAGGTCTGTTGAAATAGGAGCTATTCTTAAGATTTTCATGACCTGCACATTTCTGTAAATTAAACACTAATTTCACTTCAAAGGTTTTCACCAAAATACAAAATGTCAACTTTTCCCGTAATGGTTATCCTGTATCATTTGATGCTAACGGGGATCCTGTAGCTTTTTATGAGCTGGTCAACTGGCAGAAGAGTGAGAGTGGAGTTATTGAGCCGGTAACAGTAGGGTACTATGATGCATCACTGCCTAAAGGACAGGAGTTTCATATCAACAGGAACATAACCTGGATGGATGGTGGCACACAAGTAATTACAATTATGCAAAGAAAAAACTAATCTTTCATTTTAAGTTACATTTTAAAATTGATAATGTTTCACTTTTTCTTTTGCAACAGGTCCCAGTATCAGTGTGCTCTGAGAGTTGTTATCCAGGAACTCGTAAAGTCCTGCAGAAAGGAAAACCCATCTGCTGCTATGATTGTATACCATGTCCTGAAGGAGAGATTAGTAACATGACAAGTAAAGTAAAGCATTTATTTCCCCCAAAAGTATTACATATTCCTGTGTTAACACATTTTTATTTGACAGATTCTCCAGACTGTTTCCCGTGTCCCAGTGAATCGTGGCCTAATGCACAAAGAGACGCTTGTTTCCCCAAACCTGTGGAGTTTCTTTCCTATGATGAAGTCCTGGCAATCATCCTGGCTGCATTCTCTGTTAGTGGGGCCTGTCTGGCCATCATAACAGCAGCTATTTTCTTTCATCACAGGACAACTCCAATTGTCAGAGCCAACAACTCTGAGCTGAGCTTCCTGCTGCTCTTCTCTCTGACTCTGTGTTTCTTATGTTCATTAACTTTCATCGGAGCTCCCTCTGATTGGTCCTGCATGCTGCGACACACAGCGTTTGGTGTCACCTTTGTTCTCTGTATCTCCTGTGTTCTTGGCAAAACTGTAGTGGTTTTAATGGCCTTTAAAGCTACACTTCCAGGTAGTAATGTCATGAAATGGTTTGGGCCTCCACAACAAAAAATGACTGTTGTGTTTTTTACTTTAGTTCAAATTATAATCTGTACTGTGTGGCTGTTACTCAGCCCTCCATACCCAATGAAGAATCTGAGCACATACAAGGAGAAGATCATCCTGGAATGTGCATTAGGTTCTGCTGTTGGGTTCTGGGCTGTGCTCGGGTACATTGGCCTGCTGGCTGTTTTCTGCTTTGTGTTAGCTGTTCTAGCTCGGAAACTACCTGATAATTTTAATGAAGCCAAGCTGATAACCTTCAGCATGCTGATATTCTGTGCAGTGTGGCTCACCTTCATCCCAGCATATGTCAGCTCTCCTGGAAATTTTACTGTAGCTGTGGAGATATTTGCTATTCTGGCCTCCAGTTTTGGACTGATTCTGTGTATATTTGCTCCAAAGTGTTTCATCATCTTGTTTCAGCCTGAGAAGAACTCTAAGAAACATGTAATGAACAAAAACTGACAATGGCAGAAAGTATGTGTAAACCTATTTTGAACGAATGTTCTGTTGGATCTGCTTGATCCGTTACGTGAATCTAGTTGATGCTTTCGTTTATTTAGAATATTTGGTAATATTTTGATTGGGTTCTTTTTTGTTTTGACAGAATACAATTTAAAATTGTTGTCACAACACAGTGGTGTTTTTTCCCCTTCCGTGCAGATTGCAGCCCAGTAACTCCTAAAGCAGTAATTTGACAACTGTAACTACATGGATCTTTTGTTGTCCTTGCTTCCTGACTTTTCGCTGTATGTCTTTTATGGCCATATTATTATTTAAAAAAATTAAAATATAAAAAAAGAAATGTGGTTAATGTATCTTTTACCCACATATATGTGTGTGTCCTTAATAAAGTGGACATCAGCAATTGACTATGATAGACCAGTTTCAGTATCCCAGGTCTCCGCCCGCTCATTATTTCCATTTTCCCTTATGCTCATTTGTTAGATTTCTTTTCATCCATGCAAGAAGGGAAGTGTTTACGAAACTCTATTATCAAAAAAATGGATTCCCATTATGTAACCCAGAGTTCTTTATATATATTTTTACTTGTTCTGTGCTTAAATGGCAGATTTTGCCCACTCCTGGATCACTTGTCCATCCTGAGGTAGTGCACTGCAGCAACAACTGCTTATCTCTCACGACGGTTTCACACTGGAAGCATCGGCGGCGTGAAACGGCAGTGGAACGGTTTACTCGCGACCTTCAAAGCGGTCCATTTCACGTCGGGAGAGTCTCGGCAGCAGCACGGCTTCCTCGCTGTGCTCTTCCCTGGACTCACGAGATCACAAGATCTCGAGTCTTCAGGTCACTGTTTGTTTCTGCAATCCGCCATTAAACCATAAAATGGAAATCACGTTTTATATTTATTTTTGATGTCATGTATGATGTTGTTCCTTTCCACTGCCAGGAATAAAGTCGCACACCGCTGCACTTCTGGAACGATGCTGTAAATAAATAAGACGCTGGGTCACACGTAAGCTTCATACATATGAAACTGCATTGCTGCAGTACTTTTATTTTGAAATTCACCAGTGATTTTACACTGAAACGTGTGTGATTTCCTGTCTAGTCCTATGTTAACTGCGGAAATGGATGCATCCCAGAAGTGGCATGCGGCAAAAATAGAACCTGATCCTATCTTTAGCGGCGCCGCAGCTGGTTTGAAATACTCCATAGACTATAATGGCTTTTGTCTGAAATAGTGACGTTCTACAGCCGTTCCGCGCCGCTGATGCTTTCAGTGTGAAACCGGGTTTACGCCTGGAACGCACCAGACACAGAAGCGTGTCGATGCACCGCAAAGCACAGTGGCATGACCAGCGCATCTATTCGGCGCCCTTGTTAACTTACGCCCTCGGTGAAATCAGCTGCAAAGCGCCGAGAAGCGCCACGAAGACTTGCGCCGTGCAGCAATCGTTTCAGTGTGAGCTCAAATTTTTTCAGAAGCCGCGAGTGAGCCGCATCAATTCTGGCAGGAAGTCAAACCAAAACAGAAAAAGCAGGCTGGTAAATTTAACCAAATAAATAAATTTTTCTAAAGGAAAACGTCAGCCTTACGCCCGGAACACAACAGCTGCAAAGAGTCAGGTAAACTCTTGACAAGGTTCAGGTGAAACATGAAATGATGACAATGGCAGGCGGAAGTGGGGCACTTCCGTGTATGGGTGGGGTTGGAGAAATGAGTAGGAACTCCAGTGTGGTGCATGCTGGGCAGTGGAGCTCTGGGGTAGATCAGGTGTGAATTGGAGGCCGGGGAGTCGGGACCATGGCACCGTTATCCAGCATGTTCTAGTTGTTTCCCTGTTCCAACACACCTGATTTTAATCGACAGCTGATTATCAGGCTTTGCTGAGCTTGTTGACCTGCTGAACAGGTGATTCAACCACTGAATCAGCAGCGTTACAACTAAAACATGCTCAATAGTGGCACCCGAGGACCAGGATTGCCCACCCCTGCAATAGAGCAATATGTGCACCAATAAAAATCACTATTTTTCTAATAGCCCTTTTATTTTCCTTGGCAACCCCATAGTTTATATATGCTGTGTTGTGCATTATCATTGCATCTACATGTTTCATGTCTCCATATAATTTATATTTCCAGCGACAAAGGAAACATTTTTCTACAAGTCTATTGTCAATTTTCAAACTGGTACATGAACAGTAACTCATGGGGCACCTTCAACAATGCTGGGTGTGAAATCAGCCAAGGTAATGGAAGCCAAAACTATTGGTTAAAGTTCACCGTGGAGTTGCAAGTGTCTGTAATTGGTTGTTTGTGAGATGACTCGTGTGGCCAATGAACAGAGGCGTATAGATGTGCCCTCGCCTGTTTTTATAACCCCTTTAACCAACTTGCCTGTCAGATGCTGCGTCAGGAAACAGCGTGAGCAAATCAAACTTCTTTATGGGGTTAGTGTGGGAAAAGCAGCCATTCCTTCATGGGCCTTTTATGTTAGTGCTTCTTTGTCTTTCATTGTGCCTTTATTTTAACGTGCTGTCTGCTGTTGAATCGATGAAAATGAGAGCTACTATGACTGCAGAGGAAGAGGTTGGAAAAGCAAAGGAGGGAAAAAAAGACAGGATGGAAGCTAATAGTGTTAATTTCCATGTGTCTCAGTGTGTGAAACTAAAGGAAAGCGAGCTTTTGGCTTTGCAGTCTGAGGGGGATGTTGTTATTGGAGGGTTTTTTCATCTGCACTACGATGCTCCAGAGCCACAGCAGAACTACAACAGCAAACCCCATAAGATTGCTTGCAGCGGGTCAGTGCATGAGCATGTCTGCTTTTGGTCAACTTTATTCTGCATTACACCTTAAAACATTCATTCTATATGTTATTTGATGTACTCATCATACGCCTCTGCTGTTCACAAATGATTCCCTGCAGGTTTGACCTTAGAGCATTTCGGTGGATGATGACTATGGTGTTTGCAGTGGAGGAAATTAATAAGTCTGATCTGTTACCGGGGGTCAAACTAGGCTATCGCATCATGGACTGTTGTGATAACATCCACACAGCTTTGAGAGCTTTTTCGTCTTTGGTCAGTTTCTCTGAGGTGACAGCACAGTTTGAACCTCCCACCTGCTTCTTTGATTCTCCCATTCCTGCAATTATTGGTCTCGCATCGTCTTCCCCATCGAGAGCTGTAGCTCAAACTCTTGGTTCATTCAACATCCCACTGGTAAGGGAGAAAAAAATGACTAAATGTGCAAACTTTTTATAATAGGTTGTGTTGAATTTCACTTTTTATAGTTATGACTTAAAATTATTTTTGTTTTGATAATTAAATGTACTCGGTCTCATCCTAGGTGAGTTATTTTGCCACTTGTACTTGTCTAAGCGACAAGCAAACATACCCATCATTCCTGAGAACTGTGCCGAGTGACTTTTTTCAAGTTAAAGGTCTCGTGCAGCTGGTTACGTTCTTTGACTGGTTCTGGGTGGGCACAGTCGGAACCACGGTGAGATGTTTTGTTTTAATCTTCCAGAATTTTTCTGCTTCACTCAACAAAACTAATTGCAAAATCGTCATCTTTTACAGGACGACTACAGTATATATGGGATCCAAGCTTTCACAGATCAGTTCAGATCACATGGTGGTTGTGTGGAATATCATCTCACTATTCCAACGTCCCCTACAGTGTCTGAGATGCAATACATTGCAAATAGAGTTCAGGGTTCCACCGCAAACGTCGTTGTGGCTTTTGCTTCCGAGGGTCAAATACTACATCTGTTTTTAGAAGTAAGAACCGCATCAATTTGTCAATGTGAGACATGACAGAGGTTTGTTTGTAACTTGAAACTAATGCATTTTTTAACTCATATCTTTCCAGCTAGCTCAACGAAATGTAACAGGAATCCAGTGGATAGCAAGTGAATCGTGGGTAGCGGCCACTCTTCTGTCCCAACCACACTTCCACCGTCTTTTACAGGGGACACTTGGCTTCTCTTTTCCTGGAGTCAGAATACCTGGATTAAAAGATTTCTTACTGAGCGTCCGGCCATCTCCGGAACCAGGAATGGAATTTATCAACATGTTTTGGGAAGAGCAGTTTGGTTGTAAGCTCAAGTTTGAAGGAGAAGTGATGAAAGATAATGGGACTGCATGCACAGGTTTAGAAGATCTGAGTCTCACTTCCAGCAGGTATACGGATGTATCCAAGGTCAGAATATCCTACAATGTCTATAAAGCTGTCTTTGCCATTGCACATGCTCTGCATGCTTTACTGGACTGTAAAACAGAAGGGCCTTTCAGCGGAACATGTGAGAAGCAGAAACAGTTCACCTCTAAGCAGGTAAGAAAAACGTAATCAGTGTTATTATTTCTGTTTAGTAGGGTTTTTGATGAGATACGTTGCTTATGTTCAAACAGCTGCTGTATCATCTTAAAAAAGTCAATTTCACCAACCAGTTTGGAGAGAGAATTTATTTCAACTCCAACGGAGAGCCGGCACCTCTCTATGAGGTCGTTAACTGGCAGAAGGACAGCAGCGGTGAAATCAGGTCTGTTTTCAGGAGATATTTAGTAGTAGTATGTAGTAGATGTAACTGGGTTGAATGATGAGCTGGTACCACAATTATCAAAACTGCATATTGTACACATTTTTTTAATAGATTTGTCAAAGTGGGAAGTTATGATAGTTCAGCAGCACCTGGACAGAAGCTGCAGGTTCAGCAGAGCAGCATTATATGGACTAGAGGAGACTCACAGGTGGAGGAATTATTACAACTTTTATGTTAACCTTGCCTATTTTATTAAAAGAAATGTTAATGGAATTGTCCAGGTCCCTACATCCCAGTGTAGTGCTCCATGTCCTCCTGGCAGCAGACAGGCCACACGTCCAGGAGAGCCTCTCTGCTGCTTTGACTGTTTACCTTGTGCAGATGGAGAGATCAGCAACCAGACTGGTATCCTGTTTCCTTCATTCTTACACTGATTTTTATATTCCACAGGAAGAATAAAGTGGTAAACAAACTTTTCACCCTTAATTCACCACAGGTCTACTTTATTGTCTCCAAAGGTTCGACTGAGTGCATCAAATGTCCAGAGTTCTTCTGGTCAGACCCAGATAAAGTCAAATGTGTTGCAGGGGTTGAAGAATTTTTGTCTTTCACTGAGACCATGGGTATCATCTTAGTTACCCTCACTCTGCTGGGTGTTATCCTGACAATCATCATCACTGCCATCTTTCACCATTTTCGGACCACACCCATCGTCAAGGCCAACAACTCAGAAATCAGCTTCTTGCTGCTCCTGTCCCTCAAGCTCTGTTTCCTGTGTTCCCTGTTGTTCATTGGCCAACCGTCTGTGTGGACATGTATGTTTCGCCAGGCAGCGTTTGGGGTCAGCTTTGTCATCTGTCTGTCGTGTCTTCTAGTCAAGACTATTGTGGTTCTTTTGGCTTTCCGGGCTAATGTACCTGGCCCCAAGAGTCTGAGGATGTTTGGTCCTTCTCAGCAGAGAACCTTGATCTTCTGTACAACAGCTCCTCAGGTGGAAAAAAAAATCCTGTTGTATTTTGCCTTTATTTGATTTAGGATTCACGGTTTCAAAGTAACTGTTTGTTGCCCCCAGATTTGTCTCTGTACAGGCTGGCTGTTGGGGTCTCCGCCCATCCCGTTCAGAAATCCTACCTTCCAAGCCTCAAATGGAAAAGTAAGAACCAAGAGCATCCGTTTGTTTATTTATTTATTTATCTTTTGCTGGGGACAATAACCATAAACTCATGACTCACTGGGGATCGAGAAGACTGAGCACACACACACACACACACACACACACACACACACACACACACACACACACACACACACACACACACACACACCAAGTAGTGTAGATATTCTAAAATGTTATCAGGTGAGGGAGGATTTAACGGCAGCGTGCCAGCCGATGGCCCCCTCCATGATGCTACCACAGCTCAGCAGAACACCATCGTAGCTTCTTATGATGAGAAAAACACTCAGACAGAAAATAAAGTTAACAGTTGATGGTGGAAATGGAAATGATGCAATTAGTGAGTAGTGGTAGGAGAAAGTAGAAGAGTGTGGAAAGTGGTCAGTATGTTTTCCATTCAACAAATAAAAATGAAAAACTCAGGATCAGTTCCTCAAACTGCTGACTACAAGGCAAGTTGCTAACCCCTGAGCCACAGTAGCAGCTTTTAAGAAAAACACTTAAAATAATATGTAGCTTACCGTGTATGCCAGAATTATGAGTTTACCATACCATGTTCATTTATATAGCACATTTAAAAACAGCATGACAGCTGACCAAAGTGCTGTACAGTAAAAGGAGAAACCCCAAGATTAAAACAGATAAAAGTCATACAGGAGGTAAGAGGTAAAATCTAAAAAAATTGTAAAAGAAACATACAACAATAAAATACAGAGTCACAATAAAACGTAAAAACACTAAAAACTAGATCATTGAATAAAAGCTAAATGATAGAAGAAGGGCTTCAGTACTGACTTAAATGGACCCAGTTCTGGGGCCTGTCGAACACTAAGGGGGAGGGCATTCCAGAGTTTAGGAGCAGCAAAGGCCCGCTCTCCACGAGATTTATACCTCATTTTCGGGATGCACAAAAGCAAATGATCTGCAGATCTCAGGTTTCTGGTTGGAGCATAAGGCCTTATCAGTTCTGAAAGATAAGCCGGGGCTTGACCATTCAGAATGTTGTAGAAAAAGGTCAAAACCTTAAATTGGATGCGATATTTAACATGCAGCTAGTGCAAACGTGCAAGGACGGATGAAATGTGACAGCATCTCGAGATGTTTGTCAAGAACCTAGCCGCCGCATTTTGCTCTGTCTGTAGACGCTGGATTGCTGAGGCGCTGACACCAACAAGTAGTGAGTTGGCATAGTCTAAAGGTGTGGTTACAAAGGCATGAACAACAGACTCCAGCTGAGGTCGTTTGACTATTGACTGTTTTTCCCTGATCAGATTTTTGTAGAGTGTAAGGAGCCATGGCCTGCTGGTTTCTACCTGGTTCTCGGCTACATCGGCCTGCTAGCCTTCGTCTGCCTCCTGCTGGCGTTCCTCGGTCGGAAGCTGCCAGATACTTTCAACGAAGCCAAATTCATCACCTTCAGCATGCTGATTTTTATTGCTGTGTGGATCTCTTTCATTCCAGCTTATGTTAGCTCTCCTGGGAAGTTCTCAGTAGCTGTAGAAATATTTGCAATATTAGCCTCCAGTTTTGGTCTCTTGTTGTGTATTTTTGTGCCCAAATGTTACATTATTTTATTACATCCTGAGAGGAACATTAAAAAAGGCATGACTGGAAAATTTAGTAATTAAGCTGTTATTTGTTATTTTTTAAGGACTTCAGGTAAATCCAAATACAAGTTGTTTTGGGTTATTTATATTTATTGTAAAAATAAATGCCATTACATTTTAAATGAAACCTGCTTTTTTTCCCAATAAAAATATAAAATGCAATTTATAAAGCACGACAGCCCATGGTGAATTGTGGTTGGCATTGGACTGAACATAGAAACCAACCAAAGAATAACAAAAAGGGAATGTTACTGCAATAAAAGCTTAAAAATCCATAAATTTCATTCAAGAAAAAAAAATGATAGATTTAATCTAAACTTCAATTAAAGCAGGAGCAAAACAACCTCATTAAAGAAAAGGGGGCAAAAAACAGTAAAATGTTTTTTCTGGAAATTTTCTAATTTACACTTTTATATATCAGACAAAAAATTTTTATAAAATGACACAATCATGGTAGTCTGAAGACCAGGGGTGGAGATTGTTGATGTAGTCAAAGGCAGCAGGACGCCAGGAATGAACAACATTGGACAACCAAAAACTAGGTTTGCAAATTATCTGGTGAGGAAACCTCTGTACAAATTAATGGTTGCTTTGCCCTTACATGTACATGTCTTTTGTGCCGTCATTATTCAATAAACCTAAACTAAACTACGTACATTAAGGAGTTACCATGGCTGATCTGCATATTTATTAGTATTTGTGGGGCTTAGACAACACCTTCTGAGTGACTGACCAGGATGGTAGTCTCAGTTGTTAAACATGTGGACCAGGGAGTGTGCTTCTGCTAGTGGGGGATAACGCTCTCATCTCAGAGTTTTCAAGATGTTGGAAAGATTATCCAATTGACTGTCACGCCTTGTATTCAGGAGTAACAAAGTCTAGGTCACTTTAAAGCCGGGTCCACCCTGGAGGCATCAGCGAGCGGAACGGCAGCAGAAATGTGCTGCTTTCAATAGAATGAATTAAAATCCATAGGGTTGATCCAAATCGACCATGCCACTAAACCTAAGATCGGGTTCTATTTTTGGTGTGAGACTCTTTTGGGACATAAATGTGATTTCCTTCTTCCTGGTATAATGGCGGACGGCAGGGGCGGATTTAGGACTGAAAAAGATCCGGGGCTTAACACACGCGCGCACGCGCACACGCGTGACACGCACTAGTCAACATCATATATATATATATCTTGTACCACATCATTTTTAATCTGAAGCTACAAATTAAGCATATTCAGGGCAGAGTGTTGTTCCTGTTAGTGTTTAGTGTGAGATGATAGTAAATATTCCCTTTCTTTCTCCAACAACTTTACCTGATAAGCTAACTTTAGGCAAACCATCAGCACAACAAATATTTTCAAATAAGACTCACAAACCTGAGTCAACACCAGTCTCATCAAAGCTGGGGTTCTGTCGTTGTACTTTTGGTCCAAAAAAACGTCCTTATGTCCATCTTCACTCATGCGTTTCAGGCAGAGAGTGTAGAAGAAGCCAGCTGCTGAAGGGCTTCTTCTTCAGTGGTGGAGGCTCAGGCAGGCTGTTTACAAACTACTGCCAGCTGCGCCCTCTCTGTTGGACTTTGGTACTGCATGTTACTTCCGCGATTTAGATCCGGGGCTTAACATGAAAGATCCGGGGCTTCAGCCCAAGTAGCCGGGCCTAACGCCGCCCCTGGCGGACGGTATAAACAAATCATGATGTCTGAAGTTTCGAGAGATTCTGTGATCTTGCTGTTCTAGGAAGGAGGACGGCGTAGAAGTCGCTCCCTGCTGAGACTCCCTCGGTTTGGACTGATGCACAGCGAAACACACGAGTAAAACATCCGTGCCACTGATGTCTCCAGTGTGGACCCGGTCTAGGAGGTATCTGCGTGCAACCATAAGTATGAGCTTTCTTCATTGTATGCACAAAGTCGAGATTTTTTTGTGCACTTAAACTCTGCCATGGTTGCATTTTCTCTGTGATCCTGTCTGTGGTAATTATGGACAAAATGTATGATGCTGTTGGCACTATTCATGAAGAGGAGCTCAAGACAGTGTGTGTCTGATTTAGAACCTCAGAGTCACATCGACAGGTGAAATTCACTGTGGTAGCCTCATGGAGGGGGCCATAGGCTAGCTAGCCCTCTCTAGACTTCCCTCAGGTGTCCTCCTAATCACTCCCTAATAATTCCTAGTTAATCTTATTTTAGTCCTCCTCACCCATCTAGTTATTAGTTGTTTATTTTTGCCCTCAGTCTTTAGGTTTAGTTTCATCCGTGTGTTGTTTATTTCCCCCATTTAGATTATTGTATGCACCTGCCTTCCCTCCAGCTCTCACTACTCACACCTGTCACCAGTTCCCCTGATCACCACCCTCTGTGTTTAAAAACCCTGTCTTGTCCTTCAGTATTTGTCGGTCCATTGTTGTGTCTGTGTTGTTCTGTTCCCTCGTCATGTTCTAGTCTTTGAGTTCATAACCAAGCTTTGGTTTTTTGGCTTCCTGATTTTCAGTTTTCTGGATTTGACTCCTTCATCTAAGTGATTTTTGTGCTGCCGCCTTAATAAAAGGATTTTACATTTTTCAAATGCTCCTGCCTCGAGTCCTTCTTGGTTGCTGCGTTTTGGGTCCGACCTCCTGCTGTATCGTGAGATCTACCACTAAAAACCATGAAAGAAAAGCAAAAGAAAAATTGTGTTCCAATGCTATGCAGCATACTGCAAGAGACACGGACATGCAACGCAAATCCGGCATTGCATAAGTATTGAACACATAGTGCATATTGCATTGGTGTTATTGTGTAACAGGAAAAGGCCAGTATAGTTTACCAGGAGTTATACACTCTTTTTTTATTTTTATTTTATTTTTTTTACCGTGTCCTGTCTGGCTCTGAAGCAAACAGAATTGATGTCTGAATGCTGGTGACAAGCCTTACAGATTTACTCTCAGGTGGAGCATCAAAGTGTCTGCTTTTAATGTCACACCGGATACTTAAAACTTTATTGTTATTGAATGCTTTGTAATTCCGACCAGACACGAAGACAGAGGTGAAAGAGATAGGAAAAGAAAAGGTGGGGAGAAAGGAGGGGGGGGGGGGGGGTTCCACAAAAATAAACAATAATGAACAAGAGTCTGCTTCTAGACCTGCAGAAAAAGACAAAAAAAAAGCAAAAGGGAAAAAAATGGGACACAACAATACAACAAGGTCAAGCTATCACTGCGTCAACTTGATGAAGAAATATATAATCAACATTGCTTAACTGAAGAATCACGATAATAAATCACAGTGCAGTAAGTGCCCACCATAGTCTTAAGACCTGTGTTTAACGTGCCCAAACCCATACTTTTGAGAGTACCATGTGAGCACCTGTGTGTGTACACGCGCTTGTTTATGTAAGGTTTCTCTATAGGAGCATCCAATAGAGAGTGTGAGGGACCACAAATCCGCCCCCCAAAAATGCGCAGGAGACGGGGGAGCTCCAAGTCTCAGAGATCCAGGTGCTGCCCCAGAACACAGGAACCCCAAGGAGACTGCAACCAGAAAGGCCCCCGCCCCCCTCGAGAGGCACAGAGGATCGCCCCGGGGGGCCACAAACAGCAGCCGGCAGAGTCCCGGGAGACATCAGCGGCAAGCCCTCAAGCCCGCCCGCAGCCTCCCACCCCCTAGCCGGCCGAGCCCTGGACCCAGCAACCCGGGACCCAGGGGCGACCACCCCCCGCCGGGGACCCAGCAGAGCCCAGGGACCCAGACCCCACCATGCAGCCACCGGGATCTATCAGGCAGATGCCAAAATCTTAAACCCCCAGACTCGGTTGCCACGAACACTCAGGCAGACGAAGGTACAACCCCTCACACCAGGTGTGGCAGGGGGGAGGGGGGGCGAAGATCTATATCATCAAAAAAAGTTCCAGGAGAAGGGAGGAGTCAAAGGCCCCACCTGACATATACAGTCATACACAAACACAGTCACAGACTCCCTCCCTCATGCTCACACATACACATACAACCAAAGACTTACAAAAATGCACGCCGGACACCCACTCATGCTCCCCATACACACCCTATTAACTCTGGTCCCGGTACTGCTGCACATGGGGTACAACCATCACCGGTAACCAGAGTTTGACCCTTTCTGCTGGGGTACTGATGAGCAGGCTCCCCCGCCCAACACTGAGCACAGCAATCTACCACCCCAGACCCCAACCAGACGGCCAGATCTCCCTCCTAGCCTCCAGCCCCAGGAAGCCAAGCAACAACAGAGGTGGCTAAGACCCCTAGTCTCCCTCCGCCTGCTCCAATATAGTGTTGTGTGATCATGAGGTGTATTCCATGGCTGTGGTGAGCGGGCAGTGTGGGCATCATCTGGCCTATGCCAGCTGATGCCACTACACCACCCCACTTACACCCTCAGCCCTCGGTGTCTAAGTGCGGTTTAAAATTGGAAGTGGGCACCGGCACCTGGGAGGAGGCTGAGATATCCCCCTGCCAAATGCCGTTGAATGTGCTCACTCCCAAGGCCCTAAGTGTGTGTTTTTGTGGAATGTCATCAGTGGTGGAAGTGGAAGTGTATAAGGTGCAAATAAAATTGGGGGGCAGGTTGCCACAGGAATGCGGAAATGGGGTCCATACCCGCACTCCCTGACTTGCCCACCCCCGAAGGTCCTATGTGCATGTTTGTGTGATGATGTGAGGGAGCAGGAGGAGAGAAACATGGGAGTTATACACTCTTACAGCAGAGGGGATGAATGACCTACGGTAGCATTCCGTTTTACCTCTGGGATGTCCCAGTCTGCTTCTGGAGGGGATATCCATGGTCTCCACAGTGGAATGCAGAGGGTGTGAGGGATTTTTTAAGATGGTGGTCATCTTCCCCAACCTCATCTTTTCACATGTCTCCTCAACTCTATCCAGACGGCAGCTCAGAACCAAGTTAGCTTTGTAACTAGCTTGTTCGGTCTCTTCCTGTCTCGGTCAGAGCTGCCTGCACCCTAACAGACCACATCAGAGTGGATAACAGAACCAACCACAGAGTGATAAAAGGATTTTAGCAGCTGGGAATTGACGCCGAAGGACTCCAGCCTCCTCGGGAGGTGGTCTTGGCCCTTCTTTGAAGAGTGTTGCAAATGAGAAACGGCTGAACCGCACTGCCTAGAAACAAAAATATAAACCTTTTCCCTATCAAAGAGTTATATCTGCTTGGCTTGTAGAACATACCAAGCCTTACATAAAAGTCTCTGCAAATGTCAGAAATGAGCTTCCTTCCTTCTTAACTAACAGATTAAGGAGTCGTGCCATCAAGAGGAACCTTGAAGTAGAGCCACCACTTAGTTGCATTGCATCAGTTGATGTTGTTTGGGCATTTGGTGAGGATCACTCCTGCTTTGATCCCTCTGAAGGTTTTCAAAACTCATCCAATTCGGAGGACCCTAGCAGATCCATGACTTATTGGAATAACTTCATGTCCTCTTCGGCCTGGGAAGGCTTTGGGTGTCCCTCGAGGAACTGGAGGCTGTTTCTGGAAAAGGGACGGCTGTATTTTTCTGTTGCCACATTTGCCAAACTTCCAATAAGCATTGGGAAGTAAATGAGTGGATGATTGGATTTTATATTTGTTTATTTTTTTTGTAGGATGAAGCTCCACCCAACATGCTTTTTTTTACCATGTTCAAAATCTTGTGTTTGTGATTGGATTTTCATGTGTTGACTCATGAGGACCAGTGAAAAGAAGAGCCATTCATCTTTTGAAACCACTAAACTATTAACATGTCGGAGACATTGCTAGAGAACCATTAATTGCAGCATTTGCAAAATCCTTATGGGGTCTTTGACAGGAAAACAAATAACTCTTTTTGGGTCGAGTGTA